AATATTTTAGATAAAATACACATTTTAGTCATGTCCCCGGGTTTTCACTCAGTCCTGCTACCCTAACACATTACCCCCTCTGAAAAACTGGGAATATTCCACAAGACACATTTTCAACAGTAAGTTGCATCATCTGGATCTTCTGAAGGCAATGGGAAGACCATAAGTTAGTCTTCTCATTTTAATTTCTGTATATTTGATGAAATTGTAACTACGACTGAGAAGGTCAATCTCAACATACTGTCCTGTTACCTAAACTTTTTCTTAGATTTTATTTGTTTATTTTAAAAATATTAACTTTTGGTAAGGCACTAGAAATGGCTCAGTGTCCTCGTGCTATTAGCATGTACTATGTGGCCATATGCCATGTATTTGATAACTTTTTGCTTGAAAACTCAATCCTGTTACTTTCAGTCCTGTTACTATTTTTTTTTTCATTTTTCTAAAAAAATTAAATTAAATCACTGTTTTTATCAGTTTTGTTTGGCCCATCATTTATACAATCATTTAATAAATTAAATTGTTTTAAAAATATATAAACTTGAGGCTTAGGTCTTCTTTAAAATGAAAAAAATGGCTTTGTGTTTTTAATTAAAATACACCTTGCCTTAATAGTGATTTTATTTTCACAAATATCAATTTTTGGAACATATAACCAACAATTTCTTTAAAATAAACACTTTCTTGTGGGGAAAACAAAGGAATTATTTGACATGCTTTTAAACTTGCTTTTTAAATGGCACATGGTTTTCGGTAACAGGATTGAGAAAACATGCGCCCATCTTCTGCTTAAACCTTGTAAAAAAATAAATAAAGTTGCCTGAGATTGACCAAGAAAAAGATAAAAAATAAAGTTTAATTTTGAAGAATTACAACAAGCAAATGTCACCCATTCGGTGGAATGGCCCATATATATATATATATATATATATATATATATATATATATATATATACACTCACCGGCCACTTTATTAGGTACCCCATGCTAGTAACGGGTTGGACCCCCTTTTGCCTTCAGAACTGCCTCAATTCTTCGTGGCATAGATTCAACAAGGTGCTGGAAGCATTCCTCAGGGAGTTTGGTCCATATTGACATGATGGCATCACACAGTTGCCGCAGATTTGTCGGCTGCACATCCATGATGCGAATCTCCCGTTCCACCACATCCCAAAGATGCTCTATTGGGTTGAGATCTATTGACTGTGGAGGCCATTTTAGTACAGTGAACTCATTGTCATGTTCAAGAAACCAATTTGAAATGATTAGAGCTTTGTGACATGGTGGAAGTAGCCATCAGAGGATGGGTACATGGTGGCCATAAAGGGATGGACATGGTCAGAAACAATGCTCAGGTAGGCCGTGGCATTTAAACGATGCCCAATTGGCACTAAGGGGCCTAAAGTGTGCCAGGAAAACATCCCCCACACCATTACACCACCACCACCAGCCTGCACAGTGGTAACAAGGCATGATGGTTCCATGTTCTCATTCTGTTTACGCCAAATTCTGACTCTAACATCTGAATGTCTCAACAGAAATCGAGACTCATCAGACCAGGCAACATTTTTCCAGTCTTCAACTGTTCAATTTTGGTGAGCTCTTGCAAATTGTAGCCTCTTTTTCCTATTTGTAGTGGAGATGAGTGGTACCCGGTGGAGTCTTCTGCTGTTGTAGCCCATCCGCCTCAAGGTTGTGCGTGTTGTGGCTTCAGAAATGCTTTGCTGCATACCTCGGTTGTAACGAGTGGTTATTTCAGTCACTGTTGCCCTTCTATCAGCTCGAACCAGTCTGGCCATTCTCCTCTGACCTCTGGCATCAACAAGGCATTTCCGCCCACAGAACTGCCGCTCACTGGATGTTTTTTCTTTTTCGGACCATTCTCTGTAAACCCTAGAGATGGTTGTGCGTGAAAATCCCAGTAGATTAGCAGTTTCTGAAATACTCAGACCAGCCCTTCTGGCACCAACAATCATGCCACGTTCAAAGTCACTCAAATCACCTTTCTTCCCCATACTGATGCTCGGTTTGAACTGCAGGAGATTGTCTTGACCATGTCTACATGCCTAAATGCACTGAGTTGCCGCCATGTGATTGGCTGCTTAGAAATTAAGTGTTAACGAGCAGTTGGACAGGTGTACCTAATAAAGTGGCCGGTGAGTGTATATATATATATATATAAATATAATATTTTTTATTTATATGTATATATATATATATATATATATATATATATATAATATTGTATATATAAAAAAACAAATTTTTCTGTTGTGTATGTGTACAAATGTATGTGTGTATTAATATACAAAATAATTATACACAGTACACACACATATATTCTGCAGCAGCTTTAAAATGTATTATTTTATAACCCTAAAGCCTACTGTGTAATATTTGATATGCAATTTTTTGAAAAGTCCTCTAAATCATCAACATGATCACAATTTAGCTAAATCAATCTACTAAATGTCTTCTGTCCTTTGATTAATAGATCATTCTTTTTTTTTGTAGCAAATAGAAAGGCGTTTATAATTTCAAAAATGATCCCCTTCAGGTAATGATACATTTGTCTTTTTGCTGTGAAATCATTTTTTGTATAAAGTAAACATAATAACTTTTGTATCGCTATTAATATTTCAATATGAACATTTACTGGACTGAAGGTTTACTTTATTATCCATACATACATTATATATATACATTTTTTAGAATAAATAAAAACTACAGAGCTTTGATCATAAAACGATATACATTGTTAGAATAAATAAAAACTACAGAGCTTTGATCATAAAACTAATCAATTAAATAGAATTTTACTAGGACATATTATTAGGAGATATAGAGTGCCAACTGATATTTATAAGCATTTTAGCAAGTATTCTGCTTTAGGCCTATTGTTATACAAATCCCATGGCTTTACATTACAATATTAGGCTTTACAGGGTTAATATTGTGATTTACTGCAATGACATTGACATTTTGAACTTTTTGAGGCCACTGCATACAAGACTGCTGCTAATACCACAAACACATCATTTACTTGCAACTCCCCAGTTGCCCACAGGAGGCGCTGTTGTCTTGTTTTATGCGTTCATCTGATCAGCACCTCTTTGTGTGTCCTTGTTTTGTGATGAGTGAACGTGCTGTTAAGGGACTCTCACAACTAGAGAGATTAACACTGCCTTATTACAGCCCCACACACACACTCAGATGCCTCGTGAGTACTTTCATTCCTGAGCGGAAGGCCGTTTTGTGAAAGCACAATGAGTCTGTCTTCCATTTGGAGGTCATTCGGGCCTAAACTCTACAGATTCTTACATTTTCTCGCCGTATCTCGGGAGTCGTACTCCATCTTGGCTTCCCCTCCGCTGTGACCTGTCTGACAGCAGACGGCGATGAGCGTCTAGGATGAGCGTAGATGACCAGTGGCATTTTTTCCACTGTACTAATGCAGTGGGCGGCCTGGAAGCTTGATGCCCGTTTGCTAAACTGCAGCGCTGCGAATATTCCCAGCAGCCCCACTGGTCCTGTCAGCCAGAGCTCGCAGCACTCTTTAAGGTTAGACTCATGTTGCCAAGGAGACCGAGCAGCAGTGTGTGTGTGTAGTTCTATGATATCCTTCCTCAACCTGTGACTTGCCTGTCAGAGACGCTGTTCGACTCATTCGCAGTGGTTACTAAATAAATCTATTGTTATAGTGGCTTTTGCCCCGGGAAAATGATTATGACGTTCAGTGAAGAAACGGATGTGTGTGTTTGGTATGGGAAATGATTAACCTGTTCACAATTTGCTTCATCATAATGCCATATTAAAATGTGGAAACATGCGAGGTTTAGGATGTCAAATTTAAATGGGAGTGTTCTTTCTTTTAAAAGTGCCAGTGCTATTGTCGCTTACTAAAACTGAAATCATAAAAAAAATTACATAAAATGTAAGTAAATACCAGCTAGTTGCCAAGGAATCATTTCTCATTTTCTTTATTTAACTTAAAGTACTAAATTAACTAAAAAAAATAAACGGAAAATTAGTAAGAACTAGACGTATTTAAAAAAGTTTGAAAATGAATAAAAAAATTTAAAAAACGTAATGATTAAAACTTTAAATGAAAATGGAAAAATTGTGTGTGTGTGAGAGAGAGAGCAAAATGGGCACGCAAAACTTATGTTTAATATGTTATAATAATAATTTAAAATATCTATGCAAATGTTTATTTAGTATTTGTTCTTACGTACAATTGTATTTGCAAGTAAGGACACAATCAGGACGAGAGGCTTGTAAAATGAGGTCCACATTTGTGACCTATTCAAAACCGTTAAGTCAACATGAGCAAGAATACACTCTTGTATACAAACCTCTCTTGAATGATTTGTTTGTGCCATTTTATTATTTCAATTTGTGTATATTTGTTGTGCGGGATTGACTGATTATTTGAATATTAATTTATTTCCTCTTTTAATTACTTTTAACTAGATTTCTTCTTTATTGTCTAATAATAAACAAAATGTCTAAACAAACATTTTTGTCTAAATTGTCTAAACAAAATGCTTAAATTGCATATAATCCAGCACATGGTCTTGTGTAGCATCCTATAAAAAATGGTCTGTGCAGATTAAGGCTTTTCTAGGACACTTTGCTGTTTATTTCTGCATCTAATACTGATCGCTTTAAATTGTTTGGCAATGCGGATTACCAACATCAGTGCAAATACACTTGGCAATGGTCAAACAAATTTGGCAATGTTCAGTTATCCTAAAGGACATTTCTGTGTTACAACTCTTAGAGCAACTGCTGTGCGTGTGTGTGTCAAGCTGTTTTAATAGAGAAAAATGCTTTCCGTGTATATGCCCTCCAATTCTACTGTATCTCACATTTGAAGATTTCCATTTTGAGGGTTCATCTTCTCTCTTTCCATTTTGTTTTCCCCTCTCTTTGTCTTTCACTTGTATTCTTTGTCTCTGTCTCTTTCTTATTTTCTTTTGTCTTTTGGCTCTTTGCAGAGGAAGAGGTGGAAAATTTCAATGTTTCCAGCTTACAGGAAGAGGTGTTGCGGAACATCGAGGCTGACAGCTTCTGGTGCATGAGCAAGCTCCTGGACGGGATTCAGGTAAATTGATTCCCTATCTGCCAGCGGTCGGGCCTGATACATTCACTCTGTGTGTGTGTGTGTGTGTATGAGAGAGAGAGTAGAGCACCGCTGGGAAAGAGACGAATGTGTCGCGGCGAGATTCCCCTGCGTGTAGGCGCCCCGTTCCTTTTCCTCTCCTTGCCTTTCCTCGCTCGGCCCTGTCCAGGAATAAAATCCATGATGAATATTCTCACTCTGCAACCACAGGACGTAACCTCCTTATCCAAAGGGCCTGGATTGTCATGGGAAAGCAAAGCGACCCCCCTCTCCCCCGCCCCACATTCACTTTGTCTTGCCTGCCTCGTCCCTAATTGATTTAAGGCCATAAAACACCCGTGTTGTTTACGCAGCAGAGACTCACTTTGCGGTATGAAGGTAGGTGGTTGCGATCCTCATAGCCATATTTCCACAGGAAGACAGCTAAAGATTCCCGTGCGGCTAGGTCTGTGCCTTTTGTTTTTTTTCTCTCCTTGTTTGATGAAAGACTCTGTAATTGGGTGTTTCTGCAACTATTGACCCTTTTGGCCTTGTGGACTTAGAAATTAAACTCACTTAAAACACATTTTTTTCACTTAACTGGTTAATTTCATTTGCCCGCTAACTGTGTCAGACAGCAGGAGGGGAAGATTATTTTGTTGTTTTTCCTCTGTTTATGCAAACTGTTATTAGAAAATTTCATTTGGAATACAATTTCATACTTGTTTGTCTTGCTAAGGCCAATTCAGAATTATTATTTTTTTATTTTGATTTGCTTTGTTCAAAAAACTTGCAAGCCGCATTTGTAGGCACAGTTATGAGGCAGGGGTGTCCAAACTTTTTTTTAAAGGGGGCCAGGTTCGATGTTGTGGACACACCTATTGTGGATATGAAAATTTCCTGATAATTTACTCATCCCCACGTCATCCAAGATGTTCATGTCTTTCTTTCTTCAGTCGAAAAGAAATTAAGGTTTTTGAGGAAAACATTCCAGGATTGTTCTCCTCATAGTGGACTTCAATGGGGATCCAAATTGCTGTTTCAAAAATTGCAAATTCCTTTAATATGGCCTATATTGCATTACTTCTTTTATACATTTAACCTGTTAAGCTTCAAGCTCATTTTTGAAAAATCCCCAGATATGGCATTCCCAAACTGAAACAGATACAGTTCATGAACCCTTTGTACTAAAAGCACAAGTAAGATCTCATTTGAAAGCTGACACCTGGAAGTTTATTGTAAATGTAGAATTAATTATTGTCATAATGAAAAAAAATAGTTATAAATAGCTTCAAAGTTTTGTAAAGTTATTATACATTTATTTTTATGAAACATCTTCATGAAAATAAAATTGAAGTTGGCATTGTAGCAATCTAGAAATGCACTGCAGCTAAAGCCACATGTCTAACCATGTTATATTTAAAATCTGAAGATGATAAGTCTAAAACTCTGTATTTAGTTCAATGTTTTTCAAGATCATGTCATATGACTTTATTTTGATTAGACTGGTGTTTATTGTCATCTTATAAGCATCTATTCAGTCTATTGCCTCTATTGTTTTGTGATGCAAAAACGAGTCCCATTCAGTCTCAGGCTCCCCTGCACATATTCACACCTCTCCAGCCTGTTTATTGCTCTAAATATGCTTTTCTTTTGTCTGCATTATAATCACTAACGACTATAGCAATTCACACTGTTTCAATCCCTCATTTATTTTATAAAAGTTCTCACTTCACAGTGAAACTGTATCAAATGCCCTTTTTGAAAAACGAAACATTTCAGTAAGCATTCTTATTTAGAAAAAAAATCATAAAAATTACATCGAAGTTAGGTAGCAGGTGCTCAGTACTAGCTAGCATGTTAGCTTAGCACACCCTCAATACACGACAATTTATGAGAATAAAACTATGTTTGTGCTCCAACTTACTTTATAGCGCAAGTCGAGTGTTTTAAATAACTTTCTGTAATCTGATTTGGCTTCAGATAAAAAAATCAGATATAAAATATATTATTTTATTGTATTCTGCACAATTTGAATTTGAAAGTCTATCTCGATTAGCATTACATTATACATATAATCTATTATTATGAAAATACCTGACATGACTCGAAGAACACAGGTAAATCAAATATCATTGCAATCATGTTTATTGTCTTCAAAACATCTTTATCTGCACTTTACAGCGATCTCGGATAGCTTTGTTTATGAATCACGACTTCCTGAATGTCACATGATTATGGCTCTTCTTCATGTGATCCATATATGGACTTTACTGTGCAACAGCGCCCCAGACTTCAGTATGAATGGATAACACAGTAAATCAGAGTATACAGCGCTCAAAATGATTACATCGACGCATTTGGGTATAAATTCAATAAATATTATTCCTGTCTATAGAAGTCTGATGTAAACCTATGAGAATCTATCAATATTTCTCCAAATCTGCACATGTTTGAGCTAAAAGACCTGAGGGACGTTGTTTTGTGAATCGCTGTCATGACGATCGCACGGGAGTTTTTTTCTGAATGAGAGCAGCTGACGCTCATAATTCATATTAAAGGTAACGACTCATTTTTTTATTTCATAACTCCTGACACAAATTAAGACATAACTGTCACTATAAGTTTCACAGAATACAATAGTGGTCAAATACTGAAACTTGAGTCTTATATCGTTTTAATGATGTATAGTTTGTCAAGTTAATCACATTAAATATGATAGTAACTTTGAACTATTTAAAAAAAAAACGCTTCAGAGCGCCCACGCACTGGTGACGGTTAACAGGTTAAAAGGCCAACATGTCTACATTAATAATATAATAAAATTCGATATGGATATCCCACATTTATGCCTCCGTACCACGGTTACAGTTAGTTTTTTCGAAGTTGAAAAGAAGAATGAAAAGGAACTTTGCCGAGCGTTTTCCGCGCCTTTACGTAAGCAATGGGCAGCAAGGCAAAATTACAAAGATAAATATGAACACTTTCTGAATTATTGAATTACACCTATTTGGAAGTCGTGCATAATTTCCGTTCACAAGTGATATTTACCTTGATTTTACCGTCATTTTCTTGTCTTGCTCTTCATTTACACTGTTATAAACTTATATACAAAGTGTTTTCACTGAATTAATATTGGAATGCTTTGATTAGCTCACTCTTTTTTTTTATTAATACATTGTTATAAACATTCAATTTTGAAAATTGAAGGCGAGATTCTCGGAAAATAGCACAAAAAAAAAAAACAGTTATATATGTTCTTACTAGGTCTTAATGTGACCATTTAAGAAACGAAAAAAAAAAGGAATTCTACTAATTTTCATCAAATTCAACCCTTGGGACACAAAAGTGCCCGCAGTTAAAAAAACAGCCAATTACAGCGATGCGTTTGAAGTGAGTACAGACAGAAATGTACTCTCACGCGCACTGGGTTTAGACAATTGTCTCTTCACACATAAAGAGCATTTGTATGCAGCGAATCAACCCTCCTCACTGGTATTAGATTGAAATGCTCTCCAGGCCCTCCAAAGCTTTTGTGGTATTTTGTCTCTAATTACTGTGGTAATTTGTGTGTACAAAGCAGATTCTCTTAGGTGCTAATGATTTTTCTCCACCCTTTGTTTTCCTTACACCTTCACACCATGGCTGCTGATAGCTCTGAACACTTGCTCGCAAGTTTTTAGCGTCTGCATGCAGCGCCTTGCTCTCTGCGTGTGCGTGTCGGTGTTTTCGAGCGGTTGTTAACTCGGAAGTGTAGGTTTAGCGTGATTTTATAGTCTCAGCCATGCGTGATTGTGTTCGGGTCTCAGGAGAGCACTTGCGTTTTGAGGCGCAGGGTAGAAAAAAGTTGTTAATTACAAGTATTGTACTTCCCACCTGTGTTTGACAATAGAGAGTGATATCATTGCTATTGTAATGCTTGATTATTTGAGATGGCGCTTTATGATGTACATTGTGGAGTAACTATAAAAGGGTTTTGTTTATGCGTCAACCTTCTTTAAAAGAATATTTTAAGCTAAATGCAGCTCTATGAACAACTCTATTGTGTTGTGCTGCTGATAACCACAGAAAATGGTTCCTCAGTTTGTAAAAACACACAATTTGCATTTACACTAATCCATATACAGGGCAGGTGTGGCTTTAAATGTAGAAATATAATTAATAGTAATTGTTCTGTGCAAAAATTCATCTTATTTGAACTGTGAAGGTATATAAATTGGACTTTTAGTATTAGGACTATTGTTCTAGGCGGTTAAAGTTCTGGTTCTACAGACATTATTTTAAAGTCCCCCTGTGTCAATAATTTCATCCCTTAAAACTCATCTTTGATCATTAAAATTGCATATTTAAATGTTTCATGGCTTAAAATAGCTTGAATGTAACTCTACACCCTTGCTTTATTTAGTATATGTGGTTCTATGAATATTCAAATTAGCCCCGCCTCCACTCACTCACAGCAGCTCAGAGATCCACTCGTTGACGATCGCACGTTGACCTGATTGGTTACATGGTAGTTTGTGACGTCAGAAACACCAGCGATTTCAAACCGCGTTTTGGAGTCTTTGGTTCACTGCAGTTTTAAAGAGAAAATGCTCAGTAATGGTGTTGACTTATGAATTTGCACATGGTTTGTCTTAAAGCACATTAAAAACACCACATATAGACATATAAACAACATTAAAAACTTGATTTTCACCACAGGGGGATTTTAATAGTATCTGTGATTGTATCATACTAGTATCTTGTTCACAGAGAGAGGGCTTAGATTAAGCCAGGATTAGACCAGAAAAAAAAACATTAATGTTGTGCATCTTAAGACAAAACAATGGCACTTACATATTTTGAGATGTCAGTGCAAGTTGCTTTCAGTTAAGTCTCCTCAAACATGCATTTTATCCTTAAGCCTTGTCTGTGAAACCAGAGGATAGTGTTTTATTATTTTTAGTTTTGTGGCTGTGTCACCATAAACTATTATAAATGTGTAAACAACATGCTTTTAAAAA